AGATAACACACGAATAGATTTTATTAGTTTCACAACAAAAACAGAAACTATCGGGCTACATACATTATACACTTTACTTTATACAAACATACTTCAACTTTATATTCAATATTTTCAATGTAACTTACCATACCCATAACTGCGTCATTTAGTTTTTGGATAGATATTGTTCATGAGAAGGTTCCGGGTTAAGTTAAAACCTACTTTAGGTAGGTAGAAATAAGGTGCCTTTAAAAAGAAAAAAGTAACAATTAGCTTCCAATAATGTTTTTTTAATGGTTCAAGCCCGCCACTGCCTCCCAAAACGGCTGCAAGCCAGGATCTACAGTAGATACAACCATGAAAACACCAGAACACTGAAGTCCGGCGCATCCCAGTGAAATGAGTAACTGTCTTGGTTCCCGCAACGAAGTAAATCAGAAGATATTATAAGAGGGATAGAAATAAATCATCTGTGTCGAACTCTACCAATGGCAAGGACCAATGTCGTTTTTACCAAGTTATATATTATACTTTCTTAGATTATTTAGACACCATTGATAAACAGTGAAGGAAAATATCATGAAGGTAACCTGGACTTTTAAATTCTAATTATATATTTGAAATTGTCAACCCGCATTGAACAAGCGTGGTGATTAATGCTTAAACCTTCTCCATGTGAAGAGGCCTTTGGCCAGTTAGTGACCACTAATAGGCTAATGATGATGCTTATGAGTTTATCCCATCAACAGGTCGCGATCCGTGACAGTGGTCTACGAGGTCTCAGGTCTATGAGCCTCCTTTGAAGATGGTTTGCCAAAATCCCACGCTTCATAGGCGACTTGGATGTTGCACTCTGAAAGAGCTGTTCTGCTCGATATCTATCTAATGTAATTTTCATAAGACTTGAACTTGAACACCCGCATAAAGAGTCAGCTAATATAAATATTTACGTTCATAATGTATTACACTTTCACAAGTTATGTTCGCACAATAAAAAACATAGCCACATAGTGGATGTCATTCCACAAAACAAATAAAATCACTGCAAACAAACTATGATGACGGAAAAGCTATAAAGCTTGTCAGAATCGTTCCACAGACCCAATGGTACCTTTAGTACCGTGGATTCAATTTCCAACTCGATTCAGGATCGAATCTGACATTACGGTTCCCAATTACATTTTTGACAACCAAGTGTGTGACGTAGGGCCCTCATGTTTTTGGTACGTAATAATCCTGCCATCGTACCAAAGTTTAAGAGCATATCGCTCCAAATTGAGAACAGACATCGGATTTAGAGGGAAAAATGAATCGTTTAAACCAAATTGGTTTTTTCTGTCTAAATGTCAAAGGTCCTGTAGGGCGATTTTAGTTTGGCAGGTGTGTTTTATGGTATCTAGAACTGGATACGGGGTAGATACGTCATTTCTACTTATCTGTGGAGTTTATTATAATATTTTGAGTTTTGTTTTTTATGGCATTAGCCGGTAAACGAGCAGACGGATCACCTGATGGTAAGCAATTTCCGTCGCCCACGGACACCTGGAACACTAAAGCATTACAAGTGCGTTACCGGCCTTTTGGGAATCGTGAAGGATTCGGGATTCGGGACACTGGGGAGGGAAGTAATTGGGCCTCTGGTTACCTTACTCACACGAAGAAACACAATGCAAGCGTTGTTTCACGTCGGGTTTCTGTGAGGCTGTGGTATCACTCCGGTCGAGCCGGCCCATTCGTGCTGAAGCATGGCTCTTTCACACTTAAACTTTTGGTACCTTGAACTTTCCTCAATAGTAATCATTTAAGTTTTTTTACTGACCAGACGATGTTGATAGAAAACCTTTTGCTGACCACCAACGTTTACTAGAAGATTGTATGTTACTGGGTATCGATTAGAAGTTTTATTGTTAACATAGTATCGATTACAACCGCCCAAAACTTTTGTTAAACATTTTTCACACTAATATTTTGAAGTGAAGGTGCGTTTACAAACATGAACACATATCGATACATCACACCCAGACCCGGAACTATGTATAATTGTATACCTAATAACTGCGCAGAGGCTGTTGTTTAGTTTTCGCACGGAACAATTTTTATGAGTGATTCACAAATTGATTCTGTGGCCATACAACGGGCATAATTCGACACGGTTAGTGCGGTGTGGTTGGGCAACCTGTCGCAAATTCGATTCCCGTACGGACTAACTCTTTATGTGATCCACAAATTGTGGTTCCAGGTCTGGGTATCATGTGTATGAACTTGTATGTTTGTAAACGCACCCACGAGACAGGAGAAACTTAACTAACGTAACTATATCGAAGATTTAAAAAAAAAAAGGAAAAAGATCAGGCAATGTTAAGCTTGTCTGATTTGGGAATCTTATTCAAAACCCCTCGCTCGGCCGTCTATGTTTAACCATGATTACTCAATTTAAACACACAGCTAGCTCCACCTATTGACTACTACGCGACGTTCCTAAACCAAGTTGCAACGATATAATTATTTCATCATCATATTTTATTATGATAGACATTGATTTATGTTCACAGAGGCACCGAATGACACCTGAAAGGTTAGACTAATGCCTCATTTTTATGGAACTTCCTATATCGCGTGATTAATGAAGTGTTGCATGAAATATAAGTTGGGGAAAGTTTATTTTTGCTATTATTCTCTATTTTGGTTTGGCATTAATGCATACGGTGCATAAATAAGCAAATAGCTAGGTAACTATTGTAGTCAGTGCTATCTTTACTACAAGGGCACTCGGGGCCCGTGCCCAGGGTCCCCATCTTCAGAGGGGCCCGAAAGACCGATAACTTCCACGACGGACACAAGCCCGCTTTTACACAACTAGTAGCGATTTTGGTTCCCGCACGGTGCAAATCTTTGTGTGCTCCAAAAATGTTGTTTCGGGTCTGGGTTAGGACTGGAGACTTAAAATATTAACACTACAATATCTGCAAAGTATCTCTGTAATATCAAAGTCAAAATCATTTATTTCAATTAGACACTTTTGAACGTCAAAACATTTATCTACATAAAATATATCTTTCTCTCCATATCGTCTTTAATTAAAAAAAGCCTTTACTGTATAATCTACGAGTCCGTTGCGGTGCCGACATCACCGCCACACTCGTAAGTATGAGCCTTGACACCATTTAATTCAAATGGATCAAAACCAAGGTTTACACTTCACTGCAGACGTACAGACCGACATTCTGATTGTACCTTACGTGCATAATGTTACGCTTGTTAATCTCCAAAGGGGTAGATGTTATAATATACCTACTAGCTGATACGGCAAACTTCGCATACATTTTTTCCCCTTCTCTGAACTACCACGAACATTTCAAGACCAAAATTATCTAAATCGGTTTAGTCATTCTCGATTTTTAGCGAGATTAACGAACGAACATTAGGTACTTTTTATTTATACAGGTACTTAGATATGGGTAGTGGGCACGTCTCACGTTAAAATACGGCTCCGGCACGGTTTAACCCGATCTGCTCGGCTCCTATTAATCGTAGCGCGGTGTTCTATAACCCATAGCCTTCTTCAATAAATACACTATACAACACAAAAATATTTTTTCAAAATTGAACCAGCATTTCCTTAGATTAGCGCGTTCGAACAAACAAACACTTTAGCTTTACTATACAATAATAGTATAAGATAACATACACTGGGCATAATTCCATGCTTCACCCGACTCAGAAATGGAATCCGACACTCTCTTCGGCAGTCGCATTTACGACCAATCGAGCAACGAGGTAGAGAAAGAAATAAATGTATCTATCTAATATCCCCTTGTTGGGCAAAAACCTTCTGTGAACACTATAAATGAGCATTGGTCACGCTTGCCTAAAGAAAACAAGAAAAATATTGTAAGTAAAAAATTGGGCAGTCACAATCGAGCCTTTGAAGTATCTACAAACATTTTAGGGTTAAGACAACGTGTATTGCAACTATAATCCCTATTATATGCTAGAATAGAATAAACAGTGGTAATTCACTCAAAAAGAGACTCACTGGGGTGAGGTGAGGGTATGATTTTCTCGGTATGAACATAGTATATTTTATAGAAGTCTGAATATTTTAGCCTATGTGTGTGTTCCTGCTATGTTAAATTTTCGGCAATATTTATTAAACATAAAGAAATGTCCTGAAAGTTACACTATAAAGTCACAGAATTTTCTATCTATCTATTTTATTATCTCAAAGTGTCTAATAACTTGTATCTTTTTCAATAATAATTAATAGGATTTCCAGTGATTCATTAGCTGATTTTCTATGAATTGTATAGGTAACCTAGTGATTGTAGCAATGGTAGGTGATTACGAAGCATAATTTTGTTAATTTTCCTGTTTCCGACATCAAAATGTTCTTTAACAATAATATTGCAATATAAAGCGTCTAATGGGCTTATCCACAAAACATGTTAAGTAGGGGGTACATGAAAACCTAATACTCGTATAATTAATGATACGTTTTTCGAACACGTATAAATATTATATGAATTAATACGTAGCTATGGGTCAACATAACAATAATAGATAATATTATACGGTATAACATTCGTTGTCGATTATATCGACTTTTTCCTATTAATATTACTAAAATCTACAAGTCAAAGAAACGTTTAAAAATATGTCATTTTTAACGGCAACCCTGGTTTTTGTAGGCAGCTAAAAGTGAACATAATTGCACAAGAAATTGAGTATGTTTTGAAATATCAGTATTGATTGATTAGTGTTTGGAAAAAATACAGTAGAAAATATGATATATATTAAAATCGTTTAGAGTTAATTTCATTTTCAAAAATTATTTACAAATAATAGAAAATACTTTTTAAATTATATTAATAATATATTACGACATGATATATTATACGTCAACAAAATGTCGTAAAATATATCATGTCGTATTTTATTTCAGGACAACGTGATTTATTACAGATACTTACAACAAAACTTAATTCTAACCTACAAAATATAAGTTAACAAAAACTTACCTTTGATAAGTAGACAGTAAGCACAACAACAACTATACCGACGATAACTAACACGTAATAATACTGGTGTTAAACTTTAAAAACTACTTTAAACTTTATTTTAATGATAGCGTAAGTGTGGTATTGCTTTGCAGCCTCACAGATGGTGGTGAGAAATATAAGTAAGGAGTTTATTTTATAAGTTTTAAGTTATATAAGTTTTTTTGTACGATCGCATGGTTGGTTCACATGTTGCGGGCGCGGTGTGCGGCTCGGGCGGCGGTTCGCGTCTTTATGCCGTCCGCCCAAAGCCCGCCCTACGGTAACTTGCATGTCAACTTTCGTACGCAGTTTTGGCGGACTTTTGGGTAACGTTCATGAAATATTTAAGCGTAGGTTGTGAGAAATGAGTCATTCATTCATTAGAATTAAGTATGTAATTGAAACACAGTTCTGAAACACTGTAATAAACTTTTGTCAATGAATCGGATACATGCCAACAAGTCTAATTCAATACTTTTTTCGAACTGGCAAAAAACGATAGTTTTCTATGAATTTGGTACGAGATTGTGTTTTGTGACGTCACGTTTTTTTAGCGTCAAACAACATACTTATTTTTTTAACATTTGCTGGAAAAATACTAAAGTTAAGGTGGACATAGAATCAATTAATGAAAGTGTGATTATTTTTTAATATTTTATTGTATTGAACAGTCGAAATAATTTATTTTGATTAAGGAAAGTACCGAATTGTAATGTTTTGTTGCGAGTACAAACGTCCAGCATGAGTTTTATATATAGACTTTCTTTTGAAAGAGTTGCGAAGGCGTTGGACTTGGTATTTTTTTTTTATAAATTCATGACTTACATTGATTAATGAAATCTAAGCAGACTCTTCATCCTATCGATAAGATCCATTACAGTCAGTTCCAATGAAAAAATGTTATATTACGTTTATATTGTTTCCGCGTTGACCGAGTGGTCGCAAGTGCGACTGCTGGGCAAGGAGTGTCGGGTTCGATTCCCGGGTCGGGCCAAATATTACTGGGTTTTTTTTTAATTCTCAGTAGTAGCACAGAGTCTGGAACTGTGCCCACTATACATATGGCAATAGGCTCACCTCTTATTACATGAGAATGAGACTCATAACATATATAGTAAAAAGTGAGTGTATCATTGTATAGTGGCATTAAGGGCCGTAATGTGCACTTCTGCCTACGGTCTACGAGGATAAAAGGCGTGATATTATGTTATTACATTGTATGTGACTGTATTAAAACTTTCGTGGATATATTGATAAATTGTTATGTTTTCGACTTACTCACGTAATTGTTTGACGAGGATCTCGACTAGTTTAGACCAGTAGCAGCGCGACAATCGTCGCATCACTTGTCGCGGAATGCTGCTCATGAATATGAGCCTCTAGCATGGCTTGAAACTAGTCGAGTTCCTCGTCAAATAGTTACGTGAGTAGGTATGCCGAAAACATAATAATTAATTATACAATTTTATTATTAGAGAAATGCAATGAAACACTAAAAAACTAGTATCACAGTGATATTGCATAAATAAATACATACTTACATCCACATTCACGATCCAGTGAACATACAGACAACAAATAAACGTTACTGTGGTAAGAAAACTAAGAAAAAATTGCAGATTCACCCTCATAAATTATTACTAAGTGTGCGTATTAGTCTCTCTTTATTACTTGTGGATAAACACGCAATTTTATTTGGTTATACAGAACTAACTATCCTTACTATAATATTATAAATCGGAAAGTGAGTTTGTTTGTTTGTTCCACTTTCACGCCGTAACTACTAAACCGATTGCTTTGAATTTTTGCAGACGTAAAGTTAGAAGTCCGAATTAAATAATAGGGTACTTTTTATCCCGGAAAATTTGGTATTCCCGAGGGAAAACAAAAGTATTGATATAGATCGACTGCACGGTTGGTGCGGTGGCTGGGCAACCGGCTGCCGTGCAACGTGTCGCGGGTTCGATTCCCGCACGGAACAACACTTTGTGTGATCCACAAATTGTTGTTCCGGGTCTGGGTGTCATTGTGTATGTGAACTTGTATGTTTGTAAACGCACCCACGACACAGGAGAAAATCCTAGTGTGAAGCAACGTTTTTTTAAAATTACATTACAATTACAGATGGCGCTGTATGTATTGGTATATGTCACATAGGCTACTCTTTATCCTTTTGTGACGCGAGCGAAGCCGCGGGTAAAAACTAGTGGCCTATATAGGGTAACTCAATTATGGTTATAATAAGTTTTTTTTATTGGATGAGTCGGTAAACAAGCTGACGGATCACCTGATGGTAAGCTATCGGTGCCGCCTATTGACTCCCGGATCTCAAGAGGCGGTATAAGTGTGTTACCGGGGTTTTTGGGATGACGAATTTGAGGATTGTTGGGAAATAAAGGGGGGGGGGGGGATAATTGGGCCTCCGTCAAGCAAATAAGCTACAAAATAGCTCTTTGTCGTGTCTATATTTTAAACTAAGCTGAGCAAATCTGCATTTCGGTATCAGACTACTTCTGAGTATTTAGTTAGACGATTGTAAGAAATCATACTGTTGATTAAAATGTAAAATTTTAACATAATATAATATAATTTCACGCCTTTTATCCCCGAAGGGGTAGGTAGAGGTCCACATTACGGCACATACGTACATTGTAGCACCCACTTTTCACTATTTATGTTATGAGTCTCATGTAATAGGGGGAGAGCCTATTGCCATATACTGGGCACAATTCCAGACTCCGTGCTACCACTGATATTTTTTAAAAACCCATTAATACTTTGCCCGACCCAGGACGAGACCCCTTGCCCGGCAGTCGCACTTGCGACCACTCAGTCAACGAGACAGTTTAATATAATATGTGCACTAGAAATGTATTATGTTTTCTACTTTTCGAATTTTCTCAGTTAATATTTTCTTCTATAGATATAGAAAATCAGACTCAGATGAGTCTGATTTTGCATTCGGTGATGGTAATAGGCTCACCTCGAGGACATAGGGCATGTGTCGACATGGATATTGCATACCCTTTTACCTCTTATAAAAGGTGGTCTTAATTTTCAATGTGTGTTCATAGCTCTGACTCATGTAGCATGTCAGGCCAATTTAAACATTATTATGTGACGTGCACGTCATACATTACCATAGCAAGCATAAGCAATTTTGGTAAATTTGTCTGTTTTCAGATTCTTAGTAAAAGCGTGAAATGTCAAATTTTGATCATTGTTTGTAAATAGGTTTGTCCTTTATTGCTATTACTAGCTTTTACCCGCTGCTTCGCTCGCGTCACAAAATGATAAAAAGTAGCCTATGTGACATATACTAATACACATAGCGCCATCTATAGGAATATTTTTGTTTTCCCTCGGGAATATCTAATTTTTCCGGGATAAAAAGTACCCTATTATTTAATCCAGACTTCTAACTTTACGTCTGCAAAAATTCAAAGCAATCGGTTCAGTAGTTACGGCGAGACGGTGGAACAAACAAACAAACTCACTTTCCAATTTATAATATTACAAGGATTATCAAGAGACTTGTAATGAGGCATTATTTCATTCAGTAACGTAAATTCAAACTATTCTGCTATACAGTGGGTGCGTTTACAAACACCATATGTCATACACCTACATTAAGTACAAACAACTACTATTGTGTCATACAAAATATTAAAGCTAAGTAAAAGTATTGAAATACAATTTTGGACCTGGGTACATCTCAAGACTATGACCAGCTACCACTGAGGAATGGGTTACAGCATCCAGAGTGCCTAACACGAATAACTATGACAACTGATGTGCTCCATCGTTGGTCCCATCATCGCTTACCACCAGGCGAGATAGTGGCCAAACGTCGACCTATCTATACTAATATTATAAAGAGGAAAGATATGTACCTATTTTTGTATGTTTGTAATGAATAGGCTCAAAAAGTACTGGGCCGATTTAAAAAATTCTTTCACCAATAGAATGCTACATTCTTCCAATTTGACATAGGCTACATTTCATTTTGAAAAAAATTAGGGATGCTCGGTAAAATTTGAACAATGTAACCGAAGGTGTAGAAAATTGAGTCTTAAAATGTCTTTCGTCGAATGCGTTGCCGAAACTATTAGCGATAGAACAAAATAATGTACAACAATATTGAAGAACATAATAATGTCTACAAAAAACTCCGCGGTAGCATATGTCCAACTATTGTAGTTATGTCACTACCTCTATAACAATCCTTTCCAAAAATAAATAATTGTCTACCCCGTGCGAAGCCACGACAATATCATTGTAAATTGTTTCTAGTGGAAGCGGACTTGGTTGCCGGGGCTCCGACCAGAAGAGCATGACTAAGAACGGAGTAGTTTTTAGTCAGTAAGAGTCTGTACTCTCTCTCGCCCTGAGTAAGGCGAGAACTTATTGAATGATTTTCCCCCTCGAAAAAAATAATTAAATGACGACTTTCTAACAACAATCCTCTTCTGGAAACACAGGTGTAATATAACTTTTTTATGGAATAAGCCAATAAACGAGCAGACGAATCATCTGATGGTAAGCAATCGGCGTCGCCATGGATACATGGAACATCAGAGGTGTGTTACAAATGCGTTATCGGTCTTTTGGGTATTGGGAATTTAAGGATCCTTGGGGAATCTGGGATTGGGAGATTGGGGAGGGGGTAATTGTGCCGCAGCATGACTCTCCCCACTTATAATTACTTAAAAGTAAAGACATAATTTTCCACACAAATGATTTGATTACACCCCGCCTAGATTCAAGTGCGTTCAACTTCAATATGGACAATGCCTACACTACATAGTCTACATCAAAAGCTGCTCGACTGTGAAACGAAACCACTGGATTGTGTGCCGGTATAATATTTATAAGTAAAGAAACTAGCTTCGGTGAGCATTCAGTCAATGGGGTACTTCTATGAACAAGATATACTTGACTTCACGCCTAATCCGTGAAGAGGTAGGCAGAAGTGGACATATTTATGTAATGTAGACATGGCTGTACAATGTTCTTAATTTTTACCGCCTTCAAAAAAGGAGGAGGTACTTGTTGTTCGGCTGATTGTTTTTTTATTTGTTCCCCGATTACTATGGCGCCGACTTCTAACCTATTAAAGGGTGGGGTGAGTAACCTATCAGTATCAGTACTAATAATAGTTATTTTTGTCTTTTTAGCTTTTACTATTTGTTTGTTATTAGTTTTTGGTTTTTTTAAGTAGGTTTTTACTAGAT